GTCCTGGATCAGGGTGTGGGTCCCGCTTGGGTGCCTGGCCAGCCTGGGTGAGGGGATGAGGGCCATTTTCAGGCTGACGGGTGACTGAAGCTCCCAACCGCTCCTTTTTTTCTTTTTTCTTTTTTTATTCTGGGCCAGCTTTAGCTCTGAGGCTCGGCTCCAGCTATGAGACCTCCGCTGCTGAAAGCAGGGATCTGGGTTTGTTTGGGTTCTACAATTGTAACACTGTTGTGATCCTGCTGGCTGAAGCCCAGCTGGCTGAAAGCAGGTTTCTGGGGTTTTGTTTACCTTCTATATTTGTAACATAGTTGCTTAGAGTGCAAGCTCAGAGGCCGGCAGCAGCAGGTGGGGAACCTTGGCTTCCTCCATCACTGGAGCAAGCAAGCCTCCTGTTCGCTTCAGTGCATGGCTGCCGGCCGCCATCTTGGTTGGCCATTAATTTGCATAAGGATATGCTGATTAGCCAATGGGAAGCATTCGGGGCCACGGTCAATTTGCATCTTTCTCTTTTATTAGATAGGATTAATGTATGCTTACCTGACAGGGAAGATACAATGATCACCAAGGTGGTTTTCCCAGGGTGAAGCTCACCCGTTGTAATCTGGTTGTGATTTCCCCAATTGTGGAAAGCTCAACTGCATAATTTGTGGTCATGGAGGACTATATTTGCACTCTCCCCTGGTAAAACACACACACACACACACACACACACACACACACACACACATAAATGTAGATCTTCTAAAGGCTATGTGGTTATTTAATGGGACATGGGATTGAAATGGTAAGTTTTTCTTTTTCTTTCCATTGGTCAGTGTATGTGATTGTCCTTTCTTGAAGGATATGCACATATCCTCCCAGCACCACACACCATTTCCTCCAATGCACAGACACACAGACATATGGACACACATGCCAGGCAACATTCCCTGTTGGAGATCTCTCCAAGACTTGCTCAAGAGTGGTAGGACATCTCCCAGGTACCACTCTTTCTTGCTCTCCCTAAATATTAGCACACAGAATCTCTAGGGGTTTTTTGGGGGGTTTTTTTTGGGGGGGTGAAGCACAATAAAACAAGTATGCCTAAGTTACTAATTTGGGGAAATTTTACAAAGGTCTTGTATTCTTAAATTCCTATGTACACCTTTTACTCCCTAGACTGACATGGAAACTCTGTGATTATGTTCTTCACTCTATTATTCTGAAATCAAACTTTATCAAAGCCAATCCCTTATTCTTTCTCCATCTTTTGTGAGGTCCTCTTGCTCTAGCATGGACCCTTGTCCTGGCCCTTAGATGTTCAATGTAGTCACACAGTCTTATACCCCATTCCCATCAATGAAACTTGCTCTTAGGTAAGGATCTGATAAACTCATTGCACTTAGACTTACATATTTGCTAAGGCATACTTCTCAGACTTCCCAAAGACTTACAATTATATATATTAGAGGCCCAGTGCACGAAATTTGTGCATGGGGGGGATGTCCCTCAGCCCGGCCTGCACCCTCTCCAATCTGGGACCCCTCGGGGGGATGTCCTAAACTGGTCGTCGGACATCCCTCTCACAATCCGGGACTGCTGGCTCCCAACTGCTCACCTGCCTGCCTGCCTGATTGCCCCTAACCACTTCTGCCTGCCAGCCGGATCTCCCCTTAACTGCGCTCCTGCAGGCCCGGATCATCCACAACTGCACTCCTCTGCCACAACTTGCCTCCTCCACGAGAGGCAGTGGAGACATTGGGACCGGCCTCCTCTGTGCCGCATGAAGCCACGGGACCTCCAGGCCTCATTGTGCGGAGTGGCCACCAGGCCCCGCCTCCGCTGTGTGCGTGGCTATCTCGTGGCAGCCACCTTGTGACGACATCACGTGCGAGGGCATGAGGACCACCTAGGCTTTTATTAGTATAGATACGTTTTATTGATTTCAGAGAGGAAGGGAGAGGGAGAGAGATAGAAACATCAATGATGAAAGAGAATCATTGATCAGCTGCCTCCCCCATGCCCCACATGGGGGATTGAACCCGCAACTGAGACATGTGCCCTCCTGGTTTATAGGTCTACGCTCAACCACTGAGACATGCTGGCCAGGCCAAGGACTTATAATTTTAACCAAAGACAAAACCTACTTTTAGAGAGGAATAATTGATAAAGCAATATAGTGCTATATAGAATGTAAACCACTCCTGTTGACTATTTAGATATTTAACTTTCTGAATTGATATTCTGCTATAAAGTATTTTCAATTTTGGTCTAGAGATCTAGACAGAACTGGTTAGTTGACAACAAGGTTTTGCTTCTTGTTACAGGCCTTTAATGTATAGAAATAATAAAATGGGGGAAAGCCTTTTACTCTCTCTATACACTGGCCTATGAGGTATATTTATCTATAAAAGAATGAACATGGTATTCAAGAATTCTGGCAAAATATTTAATCCTTCAGGGAAAAAGGATACAGTGTTTAGCATTCCTGCTCAGAATTTTAATGATAAACTTTATTATAGTATAGTGTATCATTGGCTTGCATTTTTTGTAATTTTACAAGAAAATTTCCGTTTCCACATATCCATTAAGTGTCTGATTCATTTTCTTGGCTCAAGATAATGCCTTATAGCTGTAACACCAGCAAACCAGTGTCTGCATTGAACAAATATAAGACTAAGTGTGATTAAGCTATTAAGCATTTTTAATTACCTTTTACTGTTCTTTAGATATAGTGTGTTTTTGAGGAAGCAGAGCAGAATTGGAGTACCTTGATATTAAAAAGCTTTATAGAGCAAGCATATGGACTTGGATTATTCATCATAGTTGGCAGAGATTCTGCTGTAGAGTTTCGCAACACATCTCAATTTTCTTGCTCTAGTGAATGTCATAATGAACACATTTACAGCATGAGTTATGGAGAAGGGTAAAAATTTCTAAATCTTTAAAGCATTTTTTAAAATCCTCATCCAAGGATATGTTTTTATTGATTTTTAGAGAGAGAGGATGGGGGAGGGAGTGTGAGAGAACTATTGATCGGTCACCTTCTTAGGAGCCTTGACTGGGGATCATGCCTGCAACCTAGGTTTGTGCTCTGACCAGGAATCGAACTCTTTTGGTGTACAAGATGACTCTCCAACCAACTGAGCCACCTGACCAGGGCTCTTTATAGCATTTTTATGTTCTGTCTTCATTTTTGGAAATCAGATCTTGATTAAGAGGTAGAATTAACACCCAGTAGGACATCAAAATATTTTGACTTGAATCCTCTGCATTTCTCTTCTTTGTCTCTAAGACAGACAAGAAATTATTTATGGACTTGAAGTATCTGAAATGCATATATGTTGTTTCTTACAAGCCAATTACATTGTGCTTACATATGAAACTTTGGAGGGAAAAACAAGTAAATCAATGTCATTTTTTTCATATTGTTTTATTATGCTTTAACTTAATAATCCTTTTATTCTCATGCTTTTGCCCCTGGTATCTATTCCTTTAATGCCAGGCCATTTGTCATTTCCTTGCCAGCAAATTTCCTTAGGTGAAGATCACAGTGACTCCTCTTACCCAATAGGGCATTTTGTTCTCAATGCTTTTTCACACTCTTTTGTTAAAATAGTTGTAGTGGGGTACATTTCATATGCCATAAAATTCACCCATTTATAATGTAAAAGTTTAATATATTTACAGAGTTGTGCAACCATCATCACGATCTAATTTTATTTTATTTTTTTTATGATCTAATTTTAGAACATTTAAAATATCCCCAAAAGAAGCTCTAGTACTAATTACAGTCATTCCCCATGCCTACTCCCTTCATCCCCATCCCATCCCCAAGAAGCCAATAATCAATTTTCTGCTTCTATGGATTTACTTATTCTGCACATTTCATATAAATGGAATCATACAATATGTGGTCTTTTGTGACTGGCTTTTTTACTTAGCATAATGTCTTCAAGGTTCATCCACAGTGTAGCATGAATCAGTACTTCATTCCTTTTTATTGCCAAATAATATTCTATTATATGGACATAGTACATTTTATTGATCCATTCATCAGTTGATGAACACTTGGGTTGCTTCCACTTTTGGACTATTATGAGTAATGCTGCTGTGAACACTAGTGTAAAAGTTTTAAAAAGACATGTTTTAATCCAGTGTTGTAAGGATGAGGAAAATCAGACTCAGAAAGCTAGAATCTGGGCTTCTGATTTCTAATAAAACACTCTTCCTACAGAAATACAGAAATTTTAGAAAGATTTATTCATTCATTCATTCATTCATTCATTTATTTATTTATTTACGAGGGGCCCAGTGCACAAATTTGTGCACCTTGAAAGGAACTGTGGGCCATGAGGCTGTGGTGGGCACAGGGGCGGGGCTGGCACCAGCAGCGAGTGCGAGCGGCGGCTGCTGCCCTGATCACCCCTCAGAAGCAGGGGGAGGTGGAGAAGCCCTGAGGGGTGATCAGGGCTGGCAGCCACTGCTCACACCCACTGAGGGCGCCAAGCAATCGGGGCCGGTGCCAGCAGCGGGTGCGAGTGGGGCCGGTGCTGGCAGCAGGTGCGAGTGCCAGGCAGGACCGCAACATGTGGGAGCAAATAATTTTCAGTAACGACCAGAGGCTTGCCCCAATGACAGTGACCGGCGCCCCACCCTGGTCGAGCGCCCCTGCTCACCTGCTCCACCATCCTGCCCCGACACCGCCATGTTCTGTGCGTGCCCCCTGGTGGTCAGCACACGTCATAACGACCAGTTGTTTGGTTGTTCAGTTGTTCTGTCATTCGGTCTATTTGTATATTAGGGTTTTATCTATATCCTAGAAGTCCGGTGCATGAAATTCGTGCACTGGGGGCGGGGGTCCTTCAGCCTGGCCTGCACCTTCTTCAATCTGGGACCCTGCAGGGATCGGGCCTAAACCAGCAGTCAGACTGTTGGCTCCTAACTGCTCACCTGCCTGCCTGCCTGATTGCCCCTAACCACTCTGCCTGCCTTCCTGATCGCCCCTAACCACTTCTGCCTGCCAGCCTGATCATCCCTAACTGCCCTCCCCTGCTGGCCTGATCACCCCTAACTGCCTCTCCCTCAGCCCCCGCCACTGTGGCTTTGTCCAGAAGGAGGACCAGATGACTGGAAGATGTCTGGTTGACATGGTCTAATTAGCATATTACCCTTTTATTAGTATAGATAGATAGATAGATAGATAGATTGGTTGATTGATTGTTAATCCTCACCCAAGGATATTTTTCCCATTGATTTTTGCAGAGAGTGGAAGGGAGGTAGGGTGGGTGGGAAAGAGAGAGAAAGAGAGAGAGAGAGAGAGAGAAACATCACTGTGAGAGAGACTCATCAATTGGTTGCCTCCTGACCAGGGTGGAGATCAAACCTGCAAAGCAGATATGTGCTCTTGACTGGTAATGGAACCAGACTCTTGGGTGCTCAGCCCAACACTCTAACCACTTGGAAACACTGGCCAGATTGAGAAATACAAGTTAATTTTAAAAGTCCAGTATCAGGGATTTTGGAAGATGGCGGCATAGGTAAACACCGGAGACTGCTGCCACAAACAACCACTTCAAA